GGAATGAGGGATTTCTGAAGTAGAATTAGGTAACACAGGATCAAGAAAAGGATCAACAATATCAGAATGATGGGAAATAGAGTGCATGGAAATATTTGTTCGTGGAAAAACACATCTTTGGAGATAAAAAATGTCTTGGACATGATGTCATGCATTTTATATCCTTTTATTCCTGGAGGATACCCTACAAAGACACATGCTCTAGCTCTAGGAGTGAATTTGTTAGACTAGATGGCATAGTGGATGCAAAACATAGACTTCCAAACACTTTGAGTTGACTGTAATCTACATGAGTGTTATACAGAAGAGAGAATGGACTTTTATTTTGTAAAATGGAGGGTGGAGTTATGTTAATAAGAAAAGTTGCAGTTAATACGCGTTCACTCCAAAACTGAATATGAACTTGTGCCTGAAAATACAATGCTCTAGCAACATTAAGCAAATGTTGATATTTTTTCTCAACTACTGAATTTTGTTCAGGCCTTTAAATATAAGTAAATTGATGAATAGCTCCTTTAGAATGAAAGAAATCAATAAACTTTAACTCTAGTGCATTATCTGATGTGAATTTCTTTATAATCTTTTGAAATTGAGTCTCAATCATCTTAAAGAATCTGCGAATGATGTAGCTGACTTCTGATTTGTGTTTCATGAGATATACCCATGTGAATCGCGTGTAATTATCTACCAAAGTAAGAAAATACTTGTATCCAGAGTGAGAAGAAACATGATAAGGTCCCCAAGCATCACATTGTATCAAATCAAAAGCAATGACGGATAAGTGATTATTTGAGACAAAAGAAAGTCTTTTCTGTTTTTGCCAATGGATAAACATTACAAGGAGCTAATTTACAGTTTCCATATTTATCACAACTCAAATGCTATTGATCTTTTAACAAGGCTAACTTTTGAAAAGACAAATGGCCTAATCGGTGATGCCATGTATGAGCATTCACTTTATTTTCAGTTGATGAAATGGAAACACAACATCATCAACCAAAATGTTACTTCTATGACCCTGTACTGAATCAAATGATGAATCATTCATTATGTATAAACTAGCAAATCTTTTACCCTTGCCAATCATCCTCTGGTTGTACATATCCTGAATAAAACATGTGCCAGCAAAGAATCTAACAACAATGCAATGATCCTTTGTTAATGAGCTAACTGACATCAGGTTGAATTTAAATTGTAGCACATACAACATATCTTTAAGCATCAGATTATGCCTACATTTCACAGTCACAATGAAGTTTACAAGAATTCTATTATGATTTGGCAAAGTAACATAATCATTCTTAACAGGTTTCATAGTACATAAAGCTGATTGACTGAAGCATATATGACTGGTTGCCCCAGAATCCACCACCCATGCTTAGCCGAATTTATCCATGGTTTAAGAGCAATAGTAAAATAAGTACTTGTCACCTGATTAGAGTGTTCATTAGTCCATGTGTTAACTTTTGCATAAGCTAGATGATTGCTTAACATATTCATTAATTGCTAGTATTAATTAGAGTTCAAAGATTGCATGAAATTTCTTGCGTTATTCTGTACTTTCTCTGAATTAGATTCAGAAACAATTTGATTAGCAGCAACATGCTTTGACTGATTACTTCCTGAATGATCAGTGAAACCAGATTTCTACCTCATCTTATAATCAGGAGGGTATTCGTGTAATTTGTAACATTTATCCACTGCATGACCTGCCTGTCCACAGAAAGTACACATGGTCTTTCCTTCCTTTGAAATTTGTTATATGTCTGCCCTTTCTTAGGAATAGTTTTAGTATAAAATGTCATAGAATCTCTAGCATTAGAGTTACTAGAAATGTTTATATTTCTTTGATGTTCTACTTGAGAAATAAGGGAAAATACCTTATTGATGGGAGCTATAGGGTCTATAAGCAACAATTGCCCCCTGACTTGAGCAAATGTATCATTCAGCCCTATTAAAAACAACATAACATACTCTGTCTGGTAATGCTTTGAAATCTTTTTATTGCCACCACAAACATACTTTCCACAAGAACAAATTGATCTATAATTATTGAGTTCTTCCCAGATTGATTTTAATTTGGTGAAGTAGACTCTAACAGATGTTTGACCATGAGTTAGATTCATTAGCTCACATTTCAATTGGAATATATGAGGTCCACTCCTCTGCTGAAACCTTTCCTTCAAATCAATCCATATATCATGTGCCAATTTAGAATAAATGACACTTGTTGAGATCTCCTTGGAAACTAAGTTGAGAATCCATGAGATGACCATATTATTACTACGGATCCAATTATTTAGCTAATTTCCATTGTCTTTAGGCATGTACAATGATCCATTAATAAAACCAAGTTTGTTCTTCACGGATAGAGCAATCATCATAGCTCGACTCCATGAAGCATAATTGTTACCAGTAAGAGGCTGTGACACAAGCACAAGCCCTGAGTTGTCTGAATGATGAATGCATATGGGTTAGATCCATCATCAATGGCGAACTTGCTCAATGATCTGGAATTTTTCTGGCTTGGTGTATTCACTACCGATGCCATAACTTGCCAGAATGAATTTGATCACAAGAGAATAGAAATGCAATTGAATTGTAAAGAATCAGAAAATAGAAGCACAAATTAGCTCTGATACCATATTGAAGGATTGAAGCAAGAAAGAATTCAATTGTATTGTTTAGGAGAGAAAAATTACACCGTGTATTACAAGAATTGTGTATATAAATAGAGAAATTTGAAATCAACTAACTAACTAAATAACTCACTCTAACTAACTCTATTAATTCAATTGTACAAACCAATACAAGGTGAACACGTGTAATGAATTAACTAATCCAATTGTCTAACTAATAGCTGGCTCGTGACATTGTTTGCATGCTGTCAATGGTAAGTTGCCTTACTTGATGAGCTGTAATGATGCTGCCGCCTATCTTGAATTGCTCTATTATTCTTAGTCACAAAATTTGAGTCAGAAGAGAGGCATTCTAAGAAATTGGTGGTAGTTTGTGAAATTTGAGTGATCTGTATAGAATTGGTTTCGACGACGAAGAAAATAAGGTCCCTAAAGATGATGCCGATGGATTGGAGTGAAGCTTCGCCGTTAGGCTACGTGGGTTGGAGCTCGTCAATTCGATTAAGTGAAATGGGAATTGACGCAGGCGAAGAAGAATTGGGTGGAATGGGGATATGATTTGTTTGAGTTCAAGGAGATTACATGGAATTGGGACCTCGATTTTGAGGGTTTCTTTGGATTCGATGGATCTCAATCTCTATTTCATAGCGTTGATGGGGAAGGGTTTAGGAAAACCAAGGATTTGTTGGAAACGAATGTTGGGTTTGATGAATGTGTAGATGTGGTTACAACGATGACTGATTTCTAGGTTTTTGGGGGTGGGGTGAACAATTCATTTTTATTTATTTAATTGTTTTATTATATAAAACTATAATTTACTATTTTACCCTTACTTAATTTATTAATTTGAGTCAAACATTTAATTTAAGGGTTGACTAATAGATAAGTGGATGGAATCTGTCAAATGGACTCCAGCTGTAGTGTAAGTTAAAGATTTGGAATTGCGGCAGCAAAAGTGAAAGGTTAAGGTGTATTCTGTAACAAAATGAAAGGTTTGGGACTTTCGTTGCAATTTCTCCAGATTTTATTTATGAAACAATCAAATAAAAGTATTGTGAATGTGTGATTGAAAATGAGTATGTAAAAAAAAAATTGAAAGAAAGAAAGACAAACAGTAACAAAATTCGTCATAGGATTTTGAACAAAAAAATTCATTCATTTCTCAATGCATTTTTTTCATGGCGAAAAAAGGTTAGATAAAAGGATGTTTCCATCAATAAGACCATTTGCCACACAAGTTATGCATTAATTTATGCATTATTTTTACCAATGTTGACGAACATTATAATCTGTTAAAAACTTATGAAAGTTGAGTGATAAATTAAAATTAAATTAAAGTTCATTAACTGATTTGAAATACATGTAAAAGTTGGATGATACAATGAATTCACTCTCGAAGTTTCAATTTTTAAACCTCAACTTGTAAGCATGAATCACGCAGGTGACAAAACTTATTGCTTTAATAATCACTCATCATAATATCTTAGATAAGATTTGGTTCTCTTGTCCATATTTAATCGCACTTCCTACACTAAGTCCCAAAATGCAAAGTTGTAAACCTCACAAAATTAGTTCTTGTTACACTCGTCCATAGTATATTCGACCCTTATTTGATTTTAATTTTTAAAGAAGTAATTTTATGAAAAGTGATTTATTTTTTTGAATAATATAAATACGTGGGGTCAGAAATTGGTAAAAATTATGAATTCACACGTAAAATTATTTTATCGAAAATTACACGAACCGTTACAATATTTTATATTAGGATTCTATAGTCGGTCCAACAATCACGTATTTTTGTTCTTTTCACAATTCTACAAAAAAACTCAACACATTTGTCTAAAGGATTTATCTACTTGTACAAAATTTTGAATAATACTACTTGTATATAATAGAGTTACATAATAATTCACATACGGATGATGTGTCAAAAAATGAGATATATTTTTTATTTGGTTGAATAAATTCTGATTTAATTATATCTCACTACATCATGTGTATGCAAATCATTATATAAATCATTATGTACATGTAGCAAAATCGTAGATTTTTTTGCCCACCTTATTTATAGATGTAGTGGTGACAGCATATGATTGACGGTAAAATCTCTTTTTGCATGTCGACATTCAAAGACAAAATGTCATGTTACAATTTGTCATAGTGCGTGTGAAATTTTATCCACAAATAACAAGCTCCTTTGTCTAACACGCACAAGCTAGCCGTGAAGTCCCATCATTATACACACTACGATCGGATTTTAATCGCCGTTTTATTCCTCTTACCAAACTACCCCTCGCTTAATAACCCTCTAATTGCCGTCCTATCTCATTTTACCCTTTATTCTTCTTTAAATTCCTTCTCATGGCCACCACTCCCAATTCATTGGTCCTCGAAATTTCTGGGGTTAAAATTGTCCCTCAGAGTAATTATCACAGTGGCAATTCGGTCAAAGTAAAATTATTACCTAACACTAAATCCCCCATTGCAAGAAGAACTCCGACGATCTACGGACGGACAAATACTCCTCGGGGTCTGCAGCAAATCAAATCCTCGCACATGGCGGCCCAAAATGTTGATTCGACTGATGATCGTATTTCTCGGATTTCATCTTCCATTCGGGTCATAGCTGATTTCCCCAAACCTGGTAAAACTCTCTGATTTTAATTCCAGAAATATTTGAAGAATTCATATAGAGGAGGATAATTGAACTGATTTTTTCGTTTCTGCATTGATGGTTTGTGGGCAGGGATACTGTTTCAGGATATAACGACTTTGCTCCTTGATCCCAAAGCATTTAAGGACACGATCGATTTGTTTGTTGAGAGATACAAGGAACAAAATATTAATGTTGTTGCAGGTGCTTTGTTGTTTTTCTCGATCTATTGTTTTTTGTTGAAATAGAATTGCTTGATACGTGTCCTCTATATACGTTTATTCTGTTGAAAGTATGATATTGCACAACGTCGTGCAGTGTTTAGAGATTTTAATCTCCCTACAACTAAAGGGTATTGAATTTTGATATTTAATATTTTGACATTGAGATAATTTAATAAGTCGAAGAAATTTTAGTTCACAACTATGGGAATTGGATTTCAAAGTGTCATAATGTGAGCGAATGCTTGGTTATAGGGACATTCCACCTTCAACAAATCAGAATCTGAAAATCAGCGGCTGGGCCATCTTCTATGGCCCAAATATTAAGAAAATTCTGTTGATGATTATTTGAATTATCTAAATTATTCAATAGGTAAGTGAAAGCAATATCTAGCCCAAAATAATCGATGCCAAATGCTAAACTTGGTTGACTAATTATGCATTGACTCATTAACACTTGCTAATGGCAAAATCAGTTGAAATTTTATAACATGTGATACTGGTTCAAATGGTGCAGGAATCGAGGCCAGAGGTTTTATATTTGGAGCTCCAATTGCATTGGCTATCGGGGCCAAATTTGTTCCCTTGAGAAAGCCTAAGAAGTTACCTGGTATAGCTCTCTGCTTCTATCTTGGTCCGTTTTGGCTATTTTCATGGTTACTGTTATATTCATAGCATGTTTTGAATCTTCATGATGTGTTCTGTTGTCAAAAAATATAATGCATGTTTTATCAGGGTGAAAGAGACCAAAATTTATTAAAAAAAAAAAAAAAATGAAGAAGAAAGAAAGAGCACATGCTCTTATATCCTAATTAGCGTTTTTTGAAAATCTATTATTAGAAGATTGACATGCATGATGATCGAAAATCAAATGCATTATAGCTTTTGAAATGTCAGAGGTTTTTCTTTTGTAGCTGAGTAACAATATTTCTGAATTTAAATTTTGAGTACACTTTTTGTCTTTTAAGACTCCCCCCAAATTCTAGAAATAACAGCAGCCATAATCTAAGCCTTGTTCTCAATAGCTTTGGAGAAGTAAGCTACATGAATCCATTTTCTCCACTCTATTATGTATGACCTTAAGAAAATGACTGAATTATAGCTTACCCAATTTAGAAAAAAAGTTGTGAAATGTAAAATGTGGTTATGAGATGCATAATATTATATTTGGACTGGAAACTGTTGAACCAGATCCTAGATCGATGAATTGGTTCACTTAAACCTACCTTGTTTTTCAAACTGACTGAATGATTGAGATGGTTCGATCCAAAGGCCTCTTGAAAATATGCCCAGCAACCTCCCACTAGACTAGTCCATATATTTTAAAATTTCTACTATAATATACAAATAACAAATTAGGCTTCAAGTACCATCTAAAATAATTGCAATAACAAAGTCAAGTCATATTTTTATTTTATTTATTTATTTTTTCACGGGTTAGTATAGTATGTAAAAGTTTAATATTTGGCAATCAAGCACAAAGAGGAAATATTTTAGTATTTTTTAGGGATAATTGCAGCATCGATACTGAACATTTAATTTAATAGCAGACTTTGTTCAAACCTTTTATTTGTGCTACCTACGATACCAATCCTTTAAAAAAATCGCAGCTCAAGTCCAAATGAATGATTTCTGTTAGTTTGACAATAATTGTTATTGACAATAATTGTTATTGACAATAATTTTGACTAATTTTAAAAGGTTAAAACGATAACTTTGTATTTTTTTTATAATAAATAACTAAAATTAAATAGTTAAAATTAAAAACTCATTTCCACCTTCTTCTTTTTCTTCTTCTCCATCTCCATCCTACGGTAGCAAAAATGAAAAGTTTAGGTAAAGTCTGCTACTAAATGAAAGATTTGGTACCGTAGTTACAATTTTCCCATTTTTTAATTATCAAATAAATAATAATTACTTGTAATTTTTCCACACAAAGAAATGAATTTAGTATCGATAAGCATATGAAAAATGAAGAGTACACCTGTGTTCTAAGTAATTTATAAAGTTTAAATTTATACAAAAACACAATATACAAGTTCATATGTGAATCAGAATCAACAAACATTTCAGCTTATGTGGGAACCACTTATTACTCATAAGAAATATCTCTATAATATCAAAATAGAAATCAATTATATGTCCGTCCAAGTAAAAAAATACATTACATGCAAAATTAAAAGGAAAAATATAATCTCAAATAAAAAAAGATGAATTAATTATTTTATTGATCAACAATAAACCATTTTAAACTTCCAAGATTTTTCCCGGGAAAAAAAATCGTACCTACTAATCAAAGAACTCAAATAGTTATTTATGCAAAACCTTTGATAAATATCTAAACATCAATTCACCTGCTTGACTAGTAATCAAGTAACCTGCTAACTTAGCCCATTCATATTTGGATGAAAAGTGTGTTATAATATAGTAGGTGAGAGGTAGAATGAAGTCATGACAAATAGCATTTCAAAAGTACAGCTTTATGGACTCAATAATCCACATTCATATGATATATTTCTGTGTCCATGTTTATATGATAGCTGATTTTTTAAAATAATCAGCGTGTTAAAGTTACATTATGCGGGTTTTGTACAAATTGCCATAATACTGAATTGCGTACGTTTCTTAAAATTATCTTTCATATCTGATTTTGTTGTAACTCAGCACTAAATTTTGCCATCATGTTTTTAATTATGTACATGTACTCTATATATGGATTTCTGTGGCTGAATTCACCTTCATCCATGATTCACAACCTTCTTATGCTTTCCTGGGTTTTAAAGAAACAAGTTTATGGCAGAAAGAATGCCCTGATTCTTGAGTTTGAGAGATATCCTTTTACGATATTAATTTTGTGAAAGGTATCTTGGCATTGCCCTCAGCTTCTTCTGAAGATTTTTAGCGAGTTTTAGTGTGATTTCGGAAATCTATTTATTTACTTTAGTTGCAAGTGTTTTACTTGTGCATGTTTTGCATAGCAATCTATAAGTTACTGAATCCGTAATCATCATTACCGTACCAGGGGAGGTTATATCAGAAGAGTACTCTTTGGAGTATGGAACGGACATAATGGAGATGCATGTAGGAGCTGTACAAGCTGGAGAACGGGCACTTGTAGTGGATGATCTCATTGCAACTGGGGGGACCTTGAGTGCTGCTATCCGCCTACTTGGTGTGCTTCTTTCTTCTGGAAATTTATAATTTTATTGCTAATTTCTTCTCTCCCTTTGCCTCTTTTTTCTCAACATGAGAAATTAAAATTCGTCTTTAGTTTTGATAGAGGTCCACTTGCTTTCTCAATGAGGCTAATATAATCAGAATAAAGAATGCGACAACTAAAGATTAAAAGAAGAGAAAAGACCGAGTGAACTATCCTACTGAAAATTAAAGCAAATCTTGTTGGAAGCACTGTTCCATTTCTGTGACATTAATGTCTAATCTTGTTAGTTTTATATTGCAGAGCGAGTTGGGGTTGATGTGGTTGAGTGTGCATGTGTGATTGAATTGCCGGAACTGAAGGTACGAAATTAGTCAATTTACTTTCAGAGATCCAGCAATATCAATTACATTTATTTAAATTAAGAGTTTTCCATATACAGCCCTTGTTTAAGCCCCATTTTGGGGGAAACAATGTGTTCTTGAATAGTGGTTTTTGGAGAATGTGTGGTTAAAAAATAAGGAATTTTTTTTGATTTACGTGAAATTATTTTATAGGAGAATGTGATTGAAAATGAGTTTTGAAAAAATGAATTTTTTATAAAATGGGGCTCAAACAAGGCGGCAATATTTGTTTATATTCAGTATGGTTGTGTTTGAATCTTGATTACCTATAAATATATGGAAATTGGCAGACATAACTGGCCTTTAGTAGGCTGTGTTGGTTACTGCTAATATGCAGTGACCTTGATAGCAACAACATGACTGTAGTTTACATTGATACCTCATTACCTCGTGAGTACTGAATCACAATTGTCTTGTTTTATTATATACCTTAATTTTATTTTTCTATTTTTATTGATAGATAATATAATCTTTGCAGCACGGAATAGATTTTCGTTATCCATAACTTTATTCCATTTGGTGATTTCTTTTAAGGACTTAATAGAACTTCTTATCCTAAAATCTACAAGACCTTTGATGATTTTGTTTTGGGTTTGACGGTTCAAATGTTTTAATTATTCTCAGTCAGTATTAGGTGGAAAATGTTTTTGTTCACTGTCTCTCGAAAATTCCAATTTTATGATTTCCTTTTCAGTTTCATCTTCAGCTGAAAATAATTTTTTATGCCCAAATTAGAGATGGCCAGAGAACACCCTTACATGCCCAAATGCCAATGAGTTACCACACCACAACACACAGCATGAACTGATAAAGGCATCCACATGGTACATGATAGATATAGACACAGAAGCCCAATACACAGAGCAAGCATAACTACACAAAGTGCTATGTACTCCGTAATATATACAAAAGTGAAACAACAGAATTCGGAAAGATTCATGATAGATCCAGTTAAAAAAGAACATGTATATTCATGCATAATTGAATTTTCAGCGTTGTGAATGAGTTTACCATCTTGTGACTGTATAAGGAGGCTAAGACCAGTGGTACTTCTGAGGTGGAAGGTCTGAATGGTGTGTATTGTATGGGTGTATTTTGTGCAACACTTGGGCAGAGAGTCAGGTGCTGTTTTATTTTAATGAACAGCTGGGATATTATGAGTGTTTAAGATTATTTTTTGTATCAAGAATCAGGGGCATTTTAGTCTTCTGAATAATTTCTGGACCTGAATAACTTCCATAGTCCTTGAGACCTTAAATAGTGATTTCATATAATCCTACTTCTATTATTGAAGCCTAAGTGGTTAGGAAAATCTTAGTAAATAATTTTTTTAACTATTTTCTAAAAAGCTATGTCATGTGCCTAAATGGGATTAGGAAATCCAGCTGCCAATAATTAATTATTCTGTGAAGTCATTGGTAATCTTGATCGTAGAATTTAACATTTTGATGTATGAATGTGCTTAATCCCCAGTGAGGCAAAAGCAGAGTCTCTTATCTCTTTGTTCTTCCCTTTTTGTTCCCCGATAATTCTGAACTCTAGTACTACATTAAGACATGTTCCCATACATTGTTTGGCACTGTCTGTCGGAACAGAACATGCACACATGTAGGGAATAACCTTACGTTCTTCCTTGTCTTTTGAGAACCATGGCTGCCAATAAAGAGTTTTTGTCGAGGAAATATTACAAGGGCAACTATTGTTGGATTCCTTGAAGATGTTGACAAAATAGATAAATCTGTTTATAGGGTGGTCTATGTTGGATAACGGATTCATTAGGCTTGAAGACATCTCTTATGTTTATGGAGGGTACAAAATATCTTCGAGTTCTTTCTCCAAAATTGGAATCCAATCCTTCAGAGTCAAAGTTGCCCCTTCGCAACTTCCCAGCCTGCTTATATTGGCACATCCAAAGATTAAGAGAAAAATATGTTTAAGATTATTGAAACATCTGTCAAAGATATGAAGCAAGATGTAGAGCATGAAAATGATGAAGCAGTTGTAGATGAATGGGAATAAAATTCATTTTGAGCAATCTGGGGTTGCCCTTAGTCAAGATGACCATTCAGTAATAGATTTTGTTGTTTTGAAAGGATTAGAAGTTTCAATCAGATAGTGCCTATTGGATTTTACAACTCAATAGAGTTCCAAGTTATAAGCCTGTGGGCAACTCCAGTGGTTGAGATTTTATATACTGAAAGTTCAAACCTTGAGGACGATATTTCTCAAATATAGGGTGAGCCTGATATGGAACATGTGCTTAAAAAGGACAAATCTGGTATTTTATGTATGGCTGGATTTGGAACAAATTACCTGAAGTTTAGGGTGAAAAAAAAGAAAAAAAGAAATTACTAGTGTGTGTTGGTTTCCTTATAAGTAACTTACAATTTCTAGTCAAACTTCAACTTTAACCACACATTCACATAAGGGAAAATTTCAAATATAAGAGATTAAGTTTGGCCCATTTCAAAATTAAGAGACAGTTTATTATGTCAAAAATCAGATATTAATTAAATTTTATTTATGAAATAATTAATTAAAAATATATATTATTAATTAAATATATTAATGTCACAATTCTATACTATTGGCCACAAATTATTGAATGAATTGTTCACAATTTATTTCTCGATCACGAATTAGAAATTTTATAGGTCAAGTTATTTCACGCTCATGAATCAAAAATTTTATAGATCACAATTTATTCATAGTCACACATCAAAAAAATTATAAGTCATAATTAAATATATTAATGTCACAATTTTATACAATTTAGTCACAAATTCTTGAATTAATTGACGCAAATAATTTCTTGGTCACAAATCAAAAATTTTATAAGTTACAATTTATTTATCGATCACAAATCACAAATTTTACAAGTCTCAACTCAAATATTTAGGTTACATATTATCTATTGATCACAATTTATCAGCCACACATTATTTTTAGTCACACGATACCCAAATTAATGATCACAATCTCAAATAATTAGTCACAAACTCTCTTAACCCCACTACCTCCCCCAATCCACCATGGCACTACCACCTCCGACAATACCATTTTCAACTTTAGCTTGTGTTTGACACCCATTTTGGAGAAAAAATTGATTTGGAATAGTGATAGATGGAAAAATGTGTGGTAAAAAAGTAAGGAGAATTTTTGGGTTTATGTGTGATATTATTTTATTGATAGAATGTGTGATTGAAATGAAGAAAGAGAAAAAAATGAATGTCAAACAAGGGCTTAAAATCATCACCTCAACCACCCCACAACTCCACAACCACCACTAACAATATTCAACAAAATCGCCACCGCCGCCCAACCACAACTACCGCACCACTGCCATGACCACCACCAGCTAACCACCACCTCACCAGCACTGCAAACATCACCATAACCTCACCATCTCAGCCAAAATCACGATCACCACCATCCAAACACAATCAAAAGTTAGATGCAAGAAAAACAAATCCAAAATTACATATCCAATATCATTGGCCACAGTACCCACCGCTGCAACACACCTTTATTTCTTCTCTTCTCATTGTCGATTTCTGCCTCAACCTATACCCATAGCAAATTGCATCAACAACCATGCCAAAAATCATCCCAAAAACTGATGGTATTACCATTCCCTACTACAAAAGTCAATATGTCTCAAAAGTCGCTCCACCCTCGCCGGATATGCCGCCACAAACTCACCCCATAAGAACCACGACTCTCAACTGAGCACCATTCCCCTCAATAACACCATATTTTGCCCCAATAATTTCTCTCCAAAAACTCTCAATTTCCACTCCAAATCACCATAACCACTTACCTATCAAGGCCTTATTAAATAGTACGAGACTCTTCGGTCTGAGACCACCCAACTTTATGGGAGAACAAACTCCACCGTAGTTAAACAAATGTAATTTTCTCTCTTCCCCTGATCCTCCCCAAAGAAACTCCCTTTGGATGCTCTCTAATTATTTTTGCCACTGCAATAGGAATAGAAAATAATGACAAGAAATAAGTGGGAAGATTCGACAACGTGGACTTTATGAGAGAGAGACGGCCTCCCTTTGAGAGGTACATACGTTTCCAACCCGCTAGCCTTCTCTCCACCCTTTCCACAATATTGTTCCAATCTATGTATTTTTAAACCTTGCTCCTAAATGAAGCCCGAGATATGTCATAGGCAGTTGCGCAACCCTACAACCCAATATCGCAACCAACTCCACGTTATCGACCTCTCCTACTGTGATAGCCTCCGATTTTTCCAAATTTATTCTCAATCCAGATACGGCCTTAAAACACAGGAGCAAACAAAGCAAATTCCTAAACTGCTCAACATCTGCATTACAAAAATTAGCTATCGTATGCAAATAGCAAATGAGAAATCTGCAACTGCTCAACAAAAAAGCCCCTTAACAAACTTTCCTCCAAGGCCTTCTTAAGCATCCTACTCAAGGCTTCCATTACAATGGAGACAGAGGATCCCCTTACCTCAGTCCTCTGCTACTACGAAAATAACCCTCTGGAGTACCATTCACCAAAACTGAGAAAGAAACCGTAGAGATACAAAACTGGATCTATTGACACCACTTCTCCCCGAAACCACATCGCCTGAGTATATACAAAAAAAATCCCCAGTTAACGTGATCATAAGCCTTCTGAATGTCAAGCTTACATAACATTCGCAGAACCCCTAGGCGTAGTTTTGGGTCAATGCATTCTTTTGCTATAAGTACGGAATCCAAAATCTGGCGCTCTTTAACGAAAGCATTTTGAAACTTAGACATCACTTTCCCCAAAATCTTCGCAATACTCTAATATGTCCCATTCACTAAGCTAATAGGACGAAAATCCTTAATATCCGTTGCTCCCGGTTTTTTAGGAATTAACACAATAAATGTAGCATTTGCGTTTCTTAAAAACCTTCCACACTGGAAAAAATAAGTAAGGACATCCACAATGTTTCATCGCACCACTTCCCAACGAGCTTTATAGAACAAGAAAGAGAATCCATCGAGTCCTGGAGCCTTATCGTCATTCATGATGAATACCACCTCCCTAATTTCATCCTCCCCAGATGGTCTCTCTAACCAACTAGTATCCTCATTAATAGTAGAAAAATCTAACCTCTCCAATTTTGGTCTCCCGTCCAACTGCTCACGATAAAGAGTAATAAAAGCTTACCATTTGGGTCCCGATATCCTGTGGATCCTCATAAGTAACCTCGTTAACCTCCAACACATTGATAGAATTGTTGCGCCTATTGGAATTAGCAATCTTGTGGAAAAATTGAATGCATTTGTCCCCCTCTTTCAACTACTTGACCCTAGATATCTGACGTCAAGCAATCTCCTCTATCTCCACCAACCTCTCCAACTCTTCTCTTAATTCTCCACGTCTTGTCATATCATCCCCTACTAGTCCTCGACTTTCCTCCATCTATCCAACTCTTCTATATCTGATAGACATTGATTTTGTGATATGTAACATCTCCCACCACCTCCTCATTCACCACTTTAGATCCCTTTTCAAGGCCTTCAATTTCCGATCTAACACATAGCTAGGAGACCCTCTGAAATCATAAGATGCCCACCAAGTCCGAACTCGTTTCCTAAAACCTTCTACTTTTAGCCACATCCTCTCAAACCTAAAAGGCCTCCTTTTTCTACGCATAGCATTCCCATATAACGAAATGGAAAAATGATTTGAATACAACCTCCCCAATCTCCTGTGAGTGATCTCTGGGTACTTAGTCTCCCACTCCCCACATACCAGAAACCGATCTATTTGGGATATGACAGGTTGATCTCGATTGGATGACCAAGTAAATTTTCCCCAATCATAGGCAAGTCTACCAACATGTTCTCCCTGATAAAATCGGAAAAGTCCTCCATAGCCCTTGTTAATCTCCCCCCAGTAGACCTCTTGGTAGAAAATCGAATCACATTAAAATCTCCTCCAATACACGTTGGGAGGTTCCATCAAGCCATCATCCTAGCCAATTCATCCCACATTCCACCTCTACTCTCGTCTACATTAGGGCCATAAACTCTTATAAACATCCAGCAGAAGCTATACCTAATATTTCTAAACGAAAGCGATAGAGAAAATAGCCTTTCACTAACCTCCTCCATATAAAAAACTCTAGTATCCCACATTACTAGCACTCCTCCTGAAGCACCCGATGATCCTGTAAATTGATGCTCCACATGCTGTCCCTGCCATATGCTACTCACAACAGCCCTCGAAACGACCTCCAACTTTGTTTCCTGTAGACATACAAGGTCAGCCCCCCATCCCCTTAATAGATTTCGAACACCTACCCTTACATTCCAACTAATTATTTTCGAAGTCATCTTAACATTTCGTCATCCCTCCCCATCAGACCTCTACTTGACTCGCTCCCCTTGACATTATAATTAACCGAGCATTTATGACGCTTAAGCTCATGATCAACCTTTCTTTTTGTCTTACCTCCTAATGTACCCATCCCCTACTAGCAGAGCATGTATTCATACCCATCACATGACACACCTAGCATCTTGCTAAAATTTATAAAAGTTTAAAACTCTTGATGGTTGTAATTTCCACTTCTCATAATGTTGTGAAAATCGGAATGTACTTCCGATCCCATCAGAAAATCCTGGAATTGGCCCATAATCCGGTCCCGTCATGTGTTATTAACCGGTCGGTCAAAGAGCCATTGAACAGGCCGAATTAATCACTAACCGGAGAACCCGTCATGATTCTACTGGATTTTCCTATTTTAATTTAAATTTTTTCAACTACATTAATGGGCTCATGCACTGCATTTAAAGACACATAGGTATCTTGGTTCCCTTTTAATAGATGCCCTTCCTCCAATGACAACATAATCTTCTGATGGATATAGAGAAGTGTTCAATTGCCAAACAAAAACCATTTTTTAAATGTTCGCCTCATTCTTTCAATTTTAATTTGATTTTGGGCCCCAACAAAGTAAATTGTAATATTCACCTCAATCTTTTCATTTATTTGATTTTCAAAATTGAACTTAAATTGCGCTTCATTATTGGCATAATAATGCGAGACACCCTTTTCTATAGGCTCAAACAATATCAATTTTAACAAAGCAAATTATTTGGACATATTGATTGTTAGTTTTTAAAGTATCGAAACTAATTATAGAATAATGAATCTAATTAACATGAATTTGTATTTAGTTTGAACTAGTAATATGAAAATTAAAAAATTTATTGTTATAGTATTTTATAGGTTGTGTGTGCGGTTTCAGTAGAACTTTTTGACCTTTAATCCTTTACCTTTTTCGGGTTAATACACGGGTCAGTTTTCAAAATATTGTATTCACAACTAGTATATACTTGTTATCTACACATTTCGTGGGATCCATCTCACGCACGATTGAGTCGAGTTCTTTTGTGCTGTCGACATTGTTAACTAGCTTGAGTTCAAATCCCAAATTGTAATGCCTAAGTCATAGCAGATGCTATGATGATCCACCTTGCTCGAGATTTATTATCTTTAGATAGAGTCAAAAGCCCAATTCGTTTCATTTGTATAGCTAGTAGTATAAAGAAAGAATGCCTTCACCACCAGCAATGATTGCCATGAAGCCGAAGTCATTCTAATTCTTTGTGTTCTTATTCTTCTAATTCTAATATTATTTGGAACTTTTTTTATTATTCCTATAAGTAGCTTTAAGTTTGTCCAACTAACCAGGAGTTGATACCGGTTGCATGGGGTTTGAAGTAAAGTTAGGACGGCGACGGGGTGAAAGATGAAATGTGGGAATTTAGGAGAAATTCTCTCCAATTAATCTGATCTTTAAATGCTAGAAGTTTCCAGAAAAGATGAAGAACGTTACCTTGCTTTTAAAATAATATTGCTACAGACAAAGAACACGATCTTACGATGTTCCTCCCTCAGCAAACCAGATTTGAGACGAACCTAATACTTAAATTTGCAGAAAATGCATAATACTCATCTTATAGATTTGGTAATTCTATTTTAATGTCCTCTCAAGTGTTCCCTTTTTCACGGTACTGGTACTGTTAATTGATTGACTGCTTATGCTTGATTCCAGGGCCGGAATCTGTTAGGAGACAAGCCGCTGTTTGTTCTTGTTAGCTGAACTTGATGCTGTTGTGAAACTTCGTATCGAGATTTGGAGGAGAATTCGTATTCATGCCGAAAATAATTAATGGTTTCTGGCTGTCATTATTGAATTAGTATTTGCTTATTTGCTTCAACAAGTGCTTTGGGTGGGATATAAATGACAGCTATTCGCATTCCTATCTGTGTGAACATGGGCTGCTGGTAATTGGGGTGTATATGTCCAATCCCAGTGTTGTATTGCCAAAACTTTGAATGTATGTTCTTACGTATCATTTCTTAATTTCTTTGGAAGTAATTCTTGAGATCGTGCACCTTCCTAGTTATAAAGGAAAAAGATCCAAACTTAGACATGACCAATTCTTGGCTTACTGAGTTTGAGCAATTAATTTTGGACCAATCACTAAAAGGCTGAAACTCCTTGAATTGTAAGCGAATTAAAGAATCCAAGTAGCCAACTAGCAATTAGAAAAGCTAGGCCTCTGGATTTAAAAGCTCAAATATTTTTTATTCAATCAAAATATCACATAAACGATTTACGGTCACATCTTTATTCTTATGACAGATTTTGTGTGATAGAATGATCCATTTAAAATGAAAAGAAAAATCAAATCAATTATATAACAATAGTTAACATTACAAATTATTATCATCTGTTCAATTATAATAAAGTACTTAGCAACTGTTTGATAATCATTATTTGGAAACAAAAAAAAAAAAAAAAGCAATGTTTTGAATAGTTATTTTTTACAGAATGTGTGGTTAAAAAGTATAATTTTTTTTTTTTAATTTACGTGCTAAATATTTATTATATGAATATGGTTGAAAATGAGTACGTAGAAAAAAATGTTTTCAAATATAACGAGAGCTTAGTGGAAAGTTTGCCCCTTGTTAGAATATCATGTATTCTCAATATCCACAAACTGTACAAAAAATACAAAGATGTTGATAATATTACAATTACCCAATTTTATCAAAGAGCTCAAGCAACTAAAAGGGTTTATTGCTACTCAAGGCTGAGGTAACCAATTTGTCGAACTAGCTAAATTTGAATATGGGAAAAATGCATTTATCCTACTTTATCTTTACCCTATTTCAAAATAACAAAATAATTTTCACATTTCAAAAATCAGATTTTTTGACCCATATATACACATATTTCTAAATATTTATTTATATATTTAAATATATAAAAAGATATTAATTAATTAATTAATATATCTATATACACACAATTAACCCACCCCCACCTCC